TGCCTCACTCCAGCGACTACCCGAATAGGGTCAGATAGGGCTCCGTTGTGCAGCACCCTGCACGTGAAAGCCTCATACTGAGCTTCGATGAGGTTGACGATTTTATCCGGAACTCCCTTGCGCCTTAGGGCGCCCCACAGGTTTTCGTGGTTGAGTCGGTCGAAAGCTTTTTCGTAGTCAATGAAAACCAAGTAAAGGGACTCTTGGAATTCGTTGACCTGCTCCAAGATTATGCGGAGCGAGACAATATGGTCCACACAGGATCTTCCAGCACGGAATCCCGCCTGCTGCCGTCGGAGAGTCGCGTCGATCTTCTCCTGTATCCGGTTGAGGATAACTTTGCATAGAACTTTGAGAACACAACACAGTAACATAATGCCACGCCAGTTATCGCATACAGTTGGGTCCCCCTTCTTTGGGACCTTCACTAAGACGCCCTGCATCCAGTCAGCCGGAAAAGTCGCGGTGTCCCAGATATTGCAGAATAGTTGATGCAACATTTGTGCAGATAGCATGGGGTCAGCTTTGAGCATCTCTGCTGATATGCGATCGACCCCGGGAGCCTTGTTGGATTTCATGGTTCGGATAGCAGCTTCGATCTCCGGTAGGGATGGCGCCTCAGAATTGACGCGAGTGATGCGTCGCACTCTTGGCGGTTCATGCCGAGATGTTGATGGCTGGTTGACCGACGAAACTTGTAGAAGCTGTTCGAAGTGTTCAAACCAGCGTTTCAGCTGATCAGTGGGGTCGGTGAGCAACTGACCAGTCGCGTCCTTCACTGGCATCCTAGGATTCATCCTTGCTCCACTCAGGCGTCGTGAGATATCGTAGATAGCTATACTGTCTTCGACAAAGTTGCTGTACTGGGTTAGACCAACAAGCCTGTGCAACTGGATTCGGGTTAAATTGAGAACTACGCCGCTAGAGGCGCTTCACTTTTATGTTACTTATGACGGGCGCTATAATATATGGATCATATTTCCAACATAGAATATTTCGTGATTCTGACCATATAGAAAGTTACTGTCTTCTTCAAAGTTGTTCAGGTGACCAAGTCCTTTCGGATGGTGGCCATATTAGTTCAGAACTCTCTCACTACGCAGCGCTAGTGTGCATGTGCAATTCCTATATAAACTGTATCTCGAGAGCCTGGCCATATAGAAAGTTGCTGTTTTCAGCAAAGTTGGGCAAGTGATCAAGTCCTTTTGGATGGTGGCCATATTAGTTCATAACACGCTCACTACGCGGCGCTAGTGAGCAAGTAAATTTCCTGTATAAGCTGTATCTCGAGAACCTGGCCATATAGAAGATTAGTGTCTTCAGCAAAGTTGTGCAGGTAATCAAGTCCTTTCGGATGATGGTCATATTAGTTCAAAACACGCTCACTACGCGGCGCTAGCGAGCAAGTAAATTTCCTGTATAAGCTGTATCTCGAGAACCTGCCCATATAGAAGGTTACTGTCTTGAGCAAAGTTGTTCAGATGACTAAGTCCTTTCGGATGATCGTCATATTATTTCAGAACTCTCACACTACGCGGTGCTAGTGTACACATAAACTTCCTTAATATGTTATGTCTCCAAAGCTTGTCCATATAAGATGTTGCTGTGCAATGTGAGAACAGGAACCGGAAAAGGGATGACGTGTAGAGGCCGGAAATCGATGTCAGATGCTATTTTGGAATCCAAGATGGCGGGCATCGATTCAAGAAAAATTGTCAAATACCCTACAATATGGATATTTTTGGAAAGGGAACGACGTGTAGAGGCCGGAAATCGATGCCAGACGTCATTTTGGAATCCAAGATGGTGGCCATAGGGTCAAGAAAAACTGTCAAATACCCTATAATACGGGTATTTCCGGAGAGGGAACGACGTTGTAGAGGCCAGAAATCGATGCCAGACGCCATTTTGGAATCCAAGATGGCGACCATCGGGTCAAGAAAAACTGTCAAATACCCTACCATATGGGTATTTCCGGATAAGGAACGACGTGTAGAGACCGGAAATCGATGTCAGACGCCATTTTGGAATCCAAGATGGTTGCCATCGGTTCAAGAAAAACTGTCAAATACCCTACAACATGGGTATTTTCGGATAGGAGATGACGTGTAGAGACCGGAAATCGATGTCAGATGCCATTTTGTAATCCAAGATGGCGACCATAGGTTCAAGAAAACTGTCAAATACTCTACAATATGGATATTTTTGAAAGGAGACGACGTGTAGAGGCCGAAAATAGATGCCAGACGACATTTTGGGATCCAAGATGGTGGCTATCGGGTCAAGAAAAATTGTCGAAGGATAGGATCAGGGGAGGAGCTTGGGGGTAAGGTTTCGTTGTCTCATCAGAGCGTTGTCGCCAGTATGAATGGTAGACCGGTTCTAGTTTCGTCTGGAGTTCGATCGGCTATGGTGACCATGGAAAACATGTTGCCGCCATATTGGATTCCAAAATAGTGTCTGGAATCTATATCTGGCTTCTACACGTCATCCATTTTCGGATATTCCCACATTGTAGTGTATTTGACAGTTTTTATTGAACCAATGGCCGTCATCTTGAATTTCAAAATGGCATCTGGCATCGATTTTCGGCCTCTACACGTCGTTTTCTTTCCGGAAATACTCATATTGTAGAGTATTTGACAATTTTTCTTGACCCTATGGCCGCTATCTTGGATTACAAAATAGCATCTGAAATCGATTTTCGGTCTCTACATGTCATCTCCTATCCGAAAATACCCATGTTGTAGGGTATTTGACAGTTTTTCTTGAACCGATGGCAACCATCTTGGATTCCAAAATGGCGTCTGGCATCGATTTCTGGCCTCTTCACGTCGTTCCCTATCCGGAAATACCCATATGGTAGGGTATTTGACAGTTTTTCTTGACCCGATGGTCACCATCTTGGATTCCAAAATGGCGTCTGGCATCGATTTCTGGCCTCTACACGTCGTTCCATTTCCGGAAATACCCGTATTATAGGGTATTTGACAGTTTTTCTTGACCCGATGGCCGCCATCTTGGATTCCAAAATGACGTCTGGCAACGATTTTCGGCCTCTACACGTCATCCCCTTTCCAAAAATATCCATATTGTACGGTATTTGACAGTTTTTCTTGAACCGATGGCCGCCATCTTGGATTCCAAAATGGCATCTGACATCGATTTCTGGCCTCTACACGTCATCCCTTTTCCGGTTCCTGATCTCACATTGCACAGCAACATCTTATATGGACAAGCTTTGGAGTCATAACATATTAAGGAAGTTCATGTGTACACTAGCGCCACGTAGTGTGAGAGTTCTGAAATAATATGACCATCATCCGAAAGGACTTAGTGACCTGAACAACTTTTCTCAAGACAGTAACCTTCTATATGGCCAGGTTCTCGAGATACAGCTTATACAGGAAATTCACTTGCACACTAGCGCCGCGTAGTGAGCGTGATCTGAACTAATATGAACATCATCCGAAAGGACTTGCTCACCTGTACAACTTTGCTCAAAACAGCAACTTTCTATATGGCCAGGCTCTCGAGATACAGTTTATATAGGAATTGCACATGCACACTAGCGCTGCGTAGTGAGAGAGTTCTGAACTAATATGGCCACCATCCAAAAAGACTTGGTCACCTGAACAACTTTGCTGAAGACAGTAACTTTCTATATGGTCAGAATCACGAAATATTCTATGTTGGAAATATGATCCATATATTATAGCGCCCGTCATAAGTAACATAAAAGTGAAGCGCCTCTAGCGGCGTAGTTCTCAATTTAACCCGAATCCAATGGCACAGGCTTGTTGGTCTAACCCAGTACAGCAACTTTGTCGAAGACAGTATAGCTTTATGTATTGAAACAAATGAGATAATCCACTACAGCCCCCATTAGTGAAAATCCCATAAGCTGTGGGTATCCTTATTCGCGGTTCCTTATTCACGCCCCCGTTACCCCGGCAATAAGGATTCCTGACTGTACATTGTTCACGGATAGGATCAGGGGAGGAGCTTGGGGGTAAGGTTTCGTTGTCTCATCAGAGCGTTGTCGCCAGTATGAACGGTAGTGCGGTTCTAGTTTCTAGTTCTGGAGTTCGACCGGCTATGGTGACCAGTGGGCGACGCTGAGACTCATCGAAATTGATCAGTTCATCATATGCTCATTTAATGCGTGTTGAGATTTTGTGGTATAAACCGATTAGGATCAAATTATTTTCGTCTAACTATTGAATTTTATGTAAGAAAATTCACATTTCAACCCTATTACTTATCACATATGAGCTTATTGCGTGCTCGCAACTCAATGTTCTAGATGCATTTCCACAGTTATTAATTAAGAGCTTTCGATGCCAGTACCATTTTTGCATTAGTATAATTATGTGGCAACTTCAATCATAAATCTATGTTCAGGGAAGTCGATAAATTTTCCCACCTCCAGCATGGTCTTGCTTTGTAGCTGCGCATTTACCGACTGAGCTAAAGGAGGCATTCAGATGACCCATACACTGTACTCTAAAAGCATTTAAATCTTTTGGGAAACTGATAAGTTAGTTGAAATTTTCAACCATCATCGGTTATGTGATTTTCCATTGTTTGTTAACAGATCATTTCACTTTTTAATACCGCCCATATAATTAGATTAATAGCTGCTTTAGTACCCTTTCCAGACTTCTTCGGCGAGTGAATGTTGACCAACGGTTTTACTAGCCTGATTTACATTTTTGGTTGTAAGCTCTTATCATGCCAAACTGCGTGTAGTGCACCCCCGATCGCACTCAACTGCATTTTCCATACCGACCAAAAGCGTCCATTCCGGGTCCACTGACTGTCGGCTCTCTGGCCAGCTCGTTTCATATGCACTGCATTGCACGCAATCGTTATCGGTGGAAAGCGTTGGCAGTAGACTGCATGGCTCTATTACAAAGTGTCCGTCTGGTTGAGGAGTTATTCGTCAAAGTGCCTTGGTGTGAAGCGTTCCTATCGATAAGTTTCTGTGTGCGGAATAAGGTGTGAAAAATGTTCAACTTACTCGGAGGTTTTTGCTTCTATGGAATTTATATGACGATTCTGTGGGCCTACAACAGCTTTCTAGAATCGTTGCTCGGGATCATCTGGGGTTCGCTGAGGAGTTGGGTCACGAAGGAAAAACTGACCGAGCGGTATGGTCCTTGGGCAGGTAAGGGTTGATTGTTGCGAGTGTGGATTATCACTCATATTAAACTGCTTTTTAAGTTATAACCGGTGCAACGGATGGAATCGGGAAACGCTACGCGGAGAACTTGGCAAGTCAAGGACTGAACATCGTGCTTATTTCCCGCAGTGAAGTGAAATTAATCAAAGTCGCCAACGAGCTGTACGAGAAATATAACGTTGAAACCCGTTGGATAGCGGTGGACTTTACCAAGGGTCCACACATTTACAAACCGATTCAGGAAGAACTTTCCATGTTGGATATTGGGCTGCTAGGTAGGTTTCATTTCAAACAGAAGTGTCAATTTTCGGCCTGATCGTTTTCCAATCGTAGTAAACAACGTTGGATTCCACTCGTCGGTGCGTTGCTTCGATCTGAACACGGAGGAAGACATCCTCTCCACGATCAACGTAAACGTCATGGCTACCACACTGATGACGCGGATTGTCTTGCCCGGAATGAAACAACGCCGGAGGGGAATCGTCATTAACATTTCGTCCGTGGCCGGATACGTTCCGTCTCCGTACATTAATGTGTACGGTGCCTCGAAAGCCTACGTCAACCATTTCAGCCTCGCGATGAGCCACGAGCTCCGCGGAACGGGTGTGGAATGTCAGGTGGTAGTGCCATCGGTCGTCAAGACCAACATGTCCCAGCGCTACCAGGACGGGATCCCGTGGTTCATGAGCGTGGCCAATGTAGAGGAACTGGGCAGATTCGGGGTGTTCACGATCGGGAAGACGATGCATACCTGCGGAGGTTGGATGCATGCGTTTCAGGTAGGAGTTGGTCCATGTGTTGTATGAATTTTGAAAGCTTTGCGTGATTTTTAGGTCTGCTGGAAGGACGTAGTTCCATCGTCGTGGGCGGTCGCCCTCATTGCCAAAGTGACAGTGCAAGGGGTAGGACGATAAAGGCCAAGGTTGTGTGCGGGGTTTCACCATGTATCAATAAGTGGATCAATAAAGATAATTGATATGATTACCACAGGTTTGATGGAAAGAAATTATTTCCGTATGGCTTAGGCAAGTAAACAAGATTAAAAGGTAAGTTTGAGGCGCTGCTAGAAGAGCCATGAAAGGCTCACCGTGTTGAGCTAAGAACCCCAAATCGTAAATTAGTAAGCTCACAAGCTAGTTTGGAATTATCAGAAAGCACATTAAGAGAAGGCATAAATTCCACTTACGTCGTGCATTGCCAGCAAGAATGCAGCAACCCGCAACCAGCCTTCAGGATGTGGACCAATAATTCGTAAACTGCCACTTTACACGTGAGCATCAGGTTTCAGTTTTCAAATAACATGAATGATTCTGGTCGCCTACAAACGAAAAAAAAAAACAAAAATACCAAAGTAGGCACGCAGAGGTATCCCTTTTTTGATCCGATCGAAGAATAAAAGAATTCGAATCCAATCAGCTACTGGGTCCATTTTAATTGACTAAATGTTGCTTTACTCCCGCCATTCGTCAACACATGTGAACCCACACACACCCGGATCAAAATTCCGATAGTTTTCGGAGTCGGTCGGTCGGTCCAAAACAGATGTTCCTGGTTTAGCGCAAACCGAGAAGACAAAAGCAGCGATTTCCGAAATCACTTACCTCGATCCACGATCCTCGCCATATCAATCGCCGATGGCAGAACAATGATCCATAAATTGACCGCAAAAAAAAATTGTCCCCCCGGAATTTTGATGGCAACACTGCTTACTGCTGGAGAAGGTAGAGCTGAGCAGTGGAAAGTGGAAGCAGCAAAAAACATTGCAATCGAAGGAAAAAGGACAGCGAGACAGTTTCCTCAAAAAAAAAAAAAGGTCGATAACCAATCACGTCGTGCGTCCATTTTGGACATTGTTCGCCGCGACTAGCAACTTGTTTGAGTTTTTTGTTTGCTTTCTTCCGAGATGCACTTTGTCACGATGGATAAAGACGACTGGGAATGCAGCGGTGCAATGGGGCCCAGTTTCGTACTATGCTGCCCTTGGTGCGATTTTCGTCCTGTTACGGTTTTCGTTTTGGCAGAGGAGGCTGTAACTTTTCTGACTTTCTCTGTCGTGTGTGCCGCCAATCGAAGGAGGTCGGTTGGCTTATAGTTTTGTTTTTATACTTCACGGATATCTAGTGATTGAAACAGGATAAATCCACTCTTTGGCCAAAACAAGTCTGCGTTCATTGTCGTTCAAATTCTATAAAGGTATTTAGCATATAATTCGGAGCACTGATTTTGAAAATTAGGTAGAGTAAAAGATGGCTTCGGCACCCATAAATTTCACGGTATTTTCTTAACCGATTTCTTAGTCATTAGGCTTCAATCTGATTATATTATTAACTTGAGAAGTTTGGAGCGTCGTAAAAACGATCTAGAAAACTAGTTCAAACTGTTCTGGTGTCCTTTTTGAATACGTTCTTATCCATTTGTCAATCAAAGATTCGATCAACTTGATACGATTTCTGCAGCAAACTGGTGGATTTGAAAAGTTGGTACATGCAATCAAAAGTTCAAAGATTAAATTATAGGTTGGACTTACCATTATTGCGAAAATAGCACGCTGGGCGCGGAAGAAAGCGGATCCATATTATCAGTTGTTTGATCGACAAATGGACATTGGACCTACAGTACTGGCAACAATAAAGTCTATACAGAGCTGGAAAAAGAGCCTATCTGCTTTGATGGATTCATCGACTTTCTCTTTCGTAAATAACTCAGCTGCAACAATATTCCCTGTTGTATTTGACGACTTGGCTTCTTCTTCTTCTTCTTCGCATTTCAAGCTTATTGCTTATGGCATATTGGCTTATTGCGTGCTCTCAACTTAGTGTTCTAGATGCACTTCCACAGTTATTAATTGAGAGCTTTCGATGCCTGCTACCATTTTTGCATTAGTATAATTGTGTGGCAAGTCCATTCATACTTCTATGCCCAGGGAGTCGAGAAATTTTCCAACCAGAAAAATTCCTAGACCGGACCGGGAATCGAACCCAGTCACCTCCAGCATGGTCTTGCTTTGTAGCTGCACCTTTACCGACTGAGCTAAGAGAGGTCCCATTTGACGACTTGGACGTTAGCTTAAAACCACCTATATCATGTTATGTGACAAAAATAGCACGAACACTGTGCCATGGTTATCAAAAGAGAAAGTCGAGAGAATCGATTGAAGCAGCTCTGTTTAAAAGTAATCACCGTAATTTTTTTGCCTCTCCATAAAACTTCAAAGTGCTGTCACTTTCCAGTATGTGCATCAATATTTCGGTGCATATTCAGGTAAAAAAAAGTGAACAACAACCTTAATAAGTCAGGGACTTTGTCGTTCAGTTTTTGACGGATATTATAATATCCGTCAAAAACTGAACGACTAAGTCCCTGATAATTATTGTTAAATAAAAGCCACAATGAAATAAACATTATTTTCCTCATACAGTTTTACCTGCATTACTACCAGTCCCCAGAGAACCAAAAAATTCAAATTTCAGAGCAAAAATTCACTCTCACGAGCTTAATCTCTCACCATTCCATGTATTTTGATGACACTCAATTTGTGACTTCCCTCTCACAGACTACAAAATAGAGTATCTGACTCTGAAAAACATTTCTGGTACCTCTATATATGCATTTTGATCAACATCCGAAGTCCCTCCTTTTTTACATATTCTGCACAAAAGATACTTTCTGCCCCGCCCCATTCATAAACATCGGCGGGAAATCCTGTGTGGGGTGAGCTATTTTGTGTGCAGAATGTGTGAAAAATGAGGGATCTTGGATGTTAATCTAAATGCATATATAGAGGTATCAGACATGTTTTGCCCGGCAGATATCATTATCTGCTTGACCATCAAGCTGTACAGTCCGGTTCTCTTTTCGCTCGCTCTCTCGAGTAGTTCGGTGATTTAAGTCGGTCGTTTGGTCGTGGTAACCGTCGAGAGTTTTCGCTTTGGCTAGAAACTTGTGGTCAGTTCTCGCCTCTCTTGTGGCAGTCGCGAAATCGGCGGTAGTGGAGCAAAAAATGAATGCCTCCACTCACCTGTTGAAAAAACAAAAGGTGATGGGTCACCAAGTGTCGATGCAACCGCATTCGATCAAGATGCCCCGAAAAGGCCTCGCAAGAAAACTGGTGCCAGCAACCACACGGAAAGGTTGCTTCAGAGTAATCCGTTCTCGGCACTACCCGAAGAAGCAGATATAGATCCAGTTAAGAAACGGGAAAAAGTGCCCCCACTGTTCACCTCGACGAAGAAACTCGCGGTGCTCAGGAATGAGCTCGCTAAAAATCAAATCCATCCGCTGTTCAAGCTGTGCAGCACGGGGATCAAAATCTTGTGCTCGACGCTGGCGGGCTACAACGCTATTGGCACTTTTCTTCAGCTGAACCGGTTTGAATTCTACACTCACGACGTCCTTGGAAGAAAACCACCGAAAATGGTGATCCGTGGTCTTCCAGATCTTCCTGTTGCGGAGATTAACGCGGAATTGGAGCGCCTTCATCTACAACCAATCAACACTTTTCCCATTGCGAGACGTGATGAAACCAGTGCATTCCGGGACCAGTTGTACCTGGTGCACTTTGATAAGGACTCCACCAGTGTGGCTGCTCTGCGGCAGATTCGCGCGCTGTTCAACATCGTGATTCATTCTTTTTTTTTAATTTTATTTAGCGTCGGTCTCTGTTCCGCAATCTAGTGCCAATCACCGACGGACATCGATTGCCCTCCATTGACGGCAATCGAATGTGCAGGAAGGCAGCTTCCACACTTGCGTAGGATATCACACCCATTCAACACACATGGGCCGGGACCAACTGCTTTACTTCCCTTCCGAAGGAAGACGTGACCAGAGATTTTTATGCCTCAGAAAAATCCCACCGACCTCGGCTGGGATTGAACCCAGACCCATCGGGGTGTTAGAAAGCAGTCACGCTTACCACTACGCCACCGCGCGCTGTTCAACATCGTGATTCAGTGGGAGCAGTATCGCCCTCGGCACCGTGACGTGACACAGTGCACTAATTGTCTGGCATTTGCGCACGGTACGAAGAATTGTCACATGAAGGCTCGTTGTGGCAAATGTGCTGGGCTCACATTGCTACCGCCTGCAAGAAGAAAGAAGAAGCTGAACCTAAGTGCGTGAACTGTGATTACAACCATCTGGGCAGCGATAGGAGATGTCTCAAGCGAGCGGCCTTCATCCAGATCCGACAACAGGCTTCCACGAGGAACCAACCTGGTCGCCACCGCAAAAATCGTGCTCCTATTGTCAACAAGGACACGTTTCCTGTACTTCCGGCTCGTCGTATGGTCCCGAACCTAACCGTGCTGTGTCAGGTGAGTCAGAAGAAAATTCTCCACTCACAAGTGACGAGCTAGTGATCCTCGTGACTGAGGTGATCATAATCTTGCGCACCACCAAGACACTACCTGAACAGCTTCGTGCAGTTATGACCCTCGTGCAAAAGTATGGACCGTGAAGCCATCAAAATAGCCAACTGGAACGTTTGTTCGTTGATTTCCTCAATGAACATAGCATAGACATCACTGTCATCACCGAAACACACCTGAAGCCGGAGATAAATGTTCACCTCCCCGATTTTCGGCTCGTAAGGCTAGACCTGACCAGCTCCTGCGGAGGAGGAGTGGCTATCGCAAAAAGGAGAAATATTGGCTGTGGACTGCTACCGAGTTTCTAGCTCCACTCCTGTCGGCCCTATTGCCATCATTGCGGCCTACTGTCCCAAACAAGTCACCATCAGGGACCTGCGGAGAGACATCATCAAACTAACTCGACGCCGTGAGAAGTGCATCATCGCTGGCGAACTGAACGCCAAACATCAGGTTTGGAGCAACAGTCGACGCAACCAAAACGGCACAATCCGACCTACACCATATTTCCGCCGGACTCTCTCACCCGCTTGAGCCGGTCTGGC